TACTAGGTAGTCAGTTAATTACAGTAAAACTAAAAATAATAATTTAATAATTATTTTATTATTTTTAAATTTAAACTCTGGCCTTTACACAAAAAATCAAAATTAATTAATTAATTAATCAATTAAAATAAAAATTGAAATCAAATCAATTAAAACATAATATTTCAGAAAGTGTGGATAAAGTAATAAAGTACTTGTTGTCCATCTTAATTGATTTGGTTGTAGTTCATCCAGGCAGAATAATTACAGAAAAATTGTTTTAAATGTTTTACTACCCCCAACTAGTCTTTGACATACCTTTTGAGATTATCACTATTGTTAGATCTTTTTTCTTTTTACTGTAAACATCTTTGAAGTTGATATGGTTTCAAAATGTAAAGTTTATTGAAAAAGCTTATTTTTATTTTTTGCTTATTTGTCAAATATATCTTATCTACTCAAAACTACAAAAATAAATGTTAATAGTAAGAATTACAGTTAATTGATTGAGATATAAGATTATTCAGTGTAGGCCTCATAAAGAACACACACTTTTTTTGGTAAGTGACACAAATAAAAAAAATGCCATTATCAATGAACATAGATGAACATTTTTAATTCACAGCTCAAAACAAACCAGTGTCAGTGTTGTTGACTACATATGTATCACCTACAAAAAAGCAAGAACAACACTTATGCATTCTGGTAGTTATTATTGAACTAATAATTAAGCCATTATTATTGCCAGATAATACACATTTTGACTAAAAAACTGTACTAACTCAAAATTCATGTTTTTTGAATTGTGCCACTACGACAACCCACAAGCAATATGTTCTTAAACTTAGTAAATGAATAAAACAGTTTAATTATTAATTCATATATTTCCAAAATGGAAGTAACTGAATGTGAAGTTAAATGCATTGTGGTCTTTTGGTAATGACGTTAAAAATTAGTTTGCTAAAATGAACTTTTATAGTCATTCAAAATAAATTTGTGGACTTAAATTTTTCCATAAAATACAATAGAACAGGTTTGTAAATTTCCAAAAAAGACTTATCTTTATAAATAGAAAATATAGATAAATTTTGAAAAAAAAAAAAACTTAGAGAAAAGACGACAGCTTAATGACATTGCAAATTCAGATACAACAATATGACAGTGCCACAAACAAAACTTCTCTTTGATTTATAAGATTTTATATCATTGAAGCAATGATTTGTTTGTTTCAAACTTAAAAATCTTACTCAGAAAATTATATCCAACATACCAACATATTTAAGAATGATCAACTGAAACCTTGTGTAAATGTCTTAAATTTAAATTCAATATATAGAAAAAATATATGAAAGGAGATGATCAAAAAATTTAGAATGTTGCATTAAAAATTTTTAATTTAATTATTAATACTACTACATTTAGTTTTTGTGAATGTAACTTTTAATTGTGTATGAGCTAAAATTATTGAATGAATATAAAATTTTGGTGTATCCAAAATACTTACTTGTTCATTAATAAATTTCACTCTGATGACACCTTTTAAAGACTGAGGTGGTAGCATTGCCAACTGTTGGTATCCATCCTTTTAATGCAAACAGGTTACATTTAGTAGGAAATAATTTCAATTTAGGATAAACATTATTAAAAAATAAAGCACATTTTATTAATGATAAATATATAAAATAATTCTTAAAGGCAATAATATATTTCATTTTTCTTTTGAAAATTATTATTTAAAACAAAAAGTATGCATCAAGTAAAATTTTTGAAATATTTGTTTGAATGGAACAATCAACAATTTAATTCTTTACATAAGACTAAAGTAAAATTTTAACATTTATCTGTCATCATTACATTTTATAAAATGTAATTAACTTAAATTGTTAAATATTTATTTATAATTACCTCAATTTTTTAAAAAAATATATGTTATTTTGAATATTTAATATAACCAACCAAATTTATTTAAATGTATGAATGGAGTTGTAAAAAATATAACTATTTTTTTCCATTTAAAATAACAGATGTATTTCTTGTTTTAAATATATTGTCTTAATGGAGAATTGAACATTTATTTGTGGTTACAATTACAGATCCTAAATTCTATTAACATAAATGATCATTAACAGATTTAAATGGCCTTTCTATCTGAAAATATTTTGTGTGTAAAATTAACTTAAACTACAAAAGAAATTATAAACTTTTATTATTTGAAGGATTATTATAAATCTATAAAATCAATAAGTTACAGTATATAATATATAACTAAAGTATATATCAAAAATATTAAATAATAATTATTCAAAAGTAGGAATAATTTATTTAACTCAATTATAAAGTATAAAGTATAAAACAGCTACAATTGAACCTGCCTATCTCAAACATGTTTATCTCAAAAACCACTTTATATTAAAATTTATTTTCCCCCTGCATTTTCAGCCTAAATTCAATATATTTTCCATGTTTATCTCAAATTAATTTCTTATTAATAATCAATTTGCTTAACAAATTAGTTGTAGGAATGGAACTCAATAGTTAAATGAGGAGTGACTATATTAGAAATACTGTCACATTAGAAAACTTTTGGATTCCCAATTGATATTTAACTTTCAGAATCATGCACTAAGAGAAGAAATTGATCAATAAATAATTTATCATCAATCATACAAATTGTCAGCCATACCAAGTCAATATCTATTGTTGGTATTCTATCATCATTTCAATGGTACCAGTAGTAGATGTTATTCAAAACACTATCTTCTGCAAAAGGAATATTCCACATTTTTGGAAAATGTTGAATGTCTTTTGCAGAAGACATAGTTTGTGTTTGTGTATTTTTATTTTTGGAAAATAAAAATATATATTTAAAAATTCTGTTTGTGTAATATATCAATGTATTATCTCAGCAAAAGTATTTCTCCTACAGAGACATAGATGAAACTGTAACCTTTTCATATTTGTGTATTGTAACTTTTACATTTAATTCATTATCAAAATTGTATTTAATTATATAATGATTATTCAGATAATATCTAATGACAGATTATGAAAAAATCAATTCATTAGTGACTTCATTTTTATTAAAATTCAACAAAATTAAGATAAATGGTTATACAGAATTTTTGGGGATGCTTTGTTATGTAAGAAAAGGATATTGTTTTTATGCTAGAATTCCTAACAGATAATGCAAAATCTATCACTATATAATAATTATTTTGTCATTTCCACCTTATATCATGTTACGTATGTAGCTAAATCAGGCATATCATAATAAGAATATAAATTATACTATCTACATTTAAAGGCATTTAGAACTAAAGTGGATCAAGTTCTGAATTTTTAATTCCTGAGATTTCTTGGTTTAAAACATTAGTAGTCTGAAAAATAAACATTATAAAACATTTTTTTTTTTCATTTAATAAAGTTCAAATACACTTAATCACCATAAAAGATTGAAGAAAAACCAAAATACCATTTTTAGATAAATCCACTTTAGTTCTAAACGTTTCCTATATAATATCAAAAATCAAAGGAAAAGAATAACTGAATAATTTAACATTCATAAAGTTTATTTTATCTATGAAAATAAACACTAGAAATGAATTTTAATTTTAAAAATATTTAATTTGTAAAAGCTAAAAAAAAATTAAAAACAATACAAAATTGTCACATAATTATATTATTATTTTTAATAATTAAAGTTATTTCAGTCACCTCAACAATGCGAGACCGATGTACTGTAATTAAAGTAGATTGTGGAGAAGCACAGGCTGATTCTGTAAGACCTAACACTGCTTTTTCATTGTTAACATATTTTCGAAAAAGTACAACTCTCTGAAAAACATTGATAAAAATTAATTTTAAGAAATACATTATTTTTGAGAATTTATTCATAATATAAATCTTATTTTCATAAATTCAAACTAAAAAATATGCAAAAGCCTTTTGATTAAAGTATAAATTAAATTTATTAATGAAAAAAACACATTATTTTTACTATTAATTTAATGTAGAAAATATTAAATGCAGATAGAAATATATCTAAATCTGCCTGAAAATTCTAAAAATAAGTTAAATTCTGTAAAGCAACAGAAGACTAAATCAATCACTAATAAATGAAAAATATCATTCACAATTCTTCAACAGGTGAACAGCAAGGTTTTTTCTGTCTGATTGTGCATTACTTATTAAACTCTTCTATCAATGAAACCAGCTTGCCAGCTTGGCACTTAGAATGCTTAGGAGGAGGAGCACTCCTCAAAGTAACTTTACATTTACGGACAAATTTTGCCTTAGCACCTAAATTTTGAAGTAAATATTTTCTGAAAATCAAAACTTCATACTCAGTACAGTATGTACACCAAATTTGGTTGAGATTTCCCCAATAGTTCTTTCTACAGAGGGCCTGAATATGTTCACTTAGTATTTTTAGCAAAATTTTATTTAAGTTTATTAAGAATAGATATTATATTCTTATAATTACATTCATTTATTTCATGGATTTAGTACATAATCTTAAAATATCATTTTCAAAACTTGATGTCTTAACTTCATAAATATTTACTTCCTAATTTTCTTCAATAAAATTAAAGTTGTTGATTATTTATGTATATAGATAGAATGGCAGAACTAGATTGAGCACGAGTCACTTGAAACATTCCTGGCAGAAGCCTAACTTTTTCAAACCTTGCATTATTATATGGTTAAAACTGAATTATTAAGAAATCAACTTCTAGAATTTGCTAAATACAGTAGAATGACAAATATCCAGATTGTTTGTTCTTTCTATGCCAAGAAATGAGAATTTAGTTTTAAGTATATTAAATTAAGTAAATATTTTAAAAACTTGGCAGATGGTATTTAATTTTTAAAATACAAAAATTTCACAAACTTCTTCACTCTCCTTCCGTCTTTTAATCCAGCAACAGTCTAATTCTGTTTTGGCCAAATCCAAACAGAATTCTGTTTTGGACTGCTGTTGGATTAAAAGATGGAAGGAAAGCAAAAAAGTTTGCAAAATTTTTGTATTTTAAAAATTAGTTTTAAGTGTTGTCACTTTATTTGTTTTTAATTTTTTCATTGATTTAAATTGAAAAAAAAAAAATTAAATAGATTTTAATGTTTTACTTAAATTATCCATCAAATTTCCACTATGTCTCTAATAATTTTAATTTTATTTATTTACTTATTCACAATTTTCCAAAAATTTTATTTAATTTTGAGCATATCTAATTTTTTATTTTTAGTTAATTCTTTCTACCTTGTGGATATTAAGAGTGTCTTTTTTTTTTTCAGGTCTATCATGAATTCAACAAATCCCATAATGGGTGATCTGGTGGTAAAGGATGGGTGCCCATAATATCTGGAACAGAGTATTTCCAAAACTTCTTGGGTTTTTTGATACCCAGATTCAATCCTGAATTCCCAGAATTAGAGGTTGATGCTTTAACCCAGTGATTCTCAACCACTGTGCTGTGGCACTTTAGTGGACCGTGAGATTTTTGAAGTGTGCCACCAATGAAAATATCCATATATAAACTACTTGTCTGACATTGCTTAATTGGTTCTATCTTCCAAGAGCGCGTCTGGAAATTGTTACCGGTAACTGTCGGTAGTTACTAAGGCGTTTAGAAAATGTGACCCAAATAACCAACTGTGTTTAAAAATCACTGTTATGACATCACCGATTTGCCTGTGATACTTACCAAAGTAACTGTGTGTGCTGCCAAATTTTAAAATTATTAAAAGTATACCATGACAAAAAAAAATAGAGAATCACTGCTTTAACCTCTTGGCAATCTAACTGGCTAAGCAAATCCATTAAGAATTTAACTGCAAAAGAGTTAGCAACAATGGTAATCAGTTATTTTCTGTTTGCCTCTACACATACATCCAGTATATTTTGAGTATAAATTTACACAAATTCTTAAATATTTAAGAATTTGTGTAAATTTAATAATTTAAGTTTCTTGTTCTTTGTTAATATTCTACTGTAAAGGAATCATGTTATTTTGATGAAAAAGACAAAGTTACTATCATTAACAAACTGAATAAAAGTGAAACTGGAACTAAATTAGTAGATGAATATGGAGTTGGGATATCTATAAATTCAGAGTTTATTTTAAAGTTTGCTTGAATGGACCACAGGCTACCTATAAAATAGTGTGAGGACTGTTTCATCTCTAGTGTGAAAACATTTCAAGAGGAAGGATGACAAGAGTGGAAATGTTTTATTGGTTTTAGATAATGCACCATTTCATCCATGCCCTAAAAGTTTACAGCAAGAAAACAGAAGTTTACAGTTTTCTTTCTGCCTCTGACAATAACAAGTCTACTGCAACCAATGGACCAAGTGACATAGCATGTTTGAAGCATTTGTACAAAAAAATTTTTTACAAAAACTTCTCTTGGAAGATGAAGAAAGTTTTATAGAATTTTAGAGGAATTAATTTAAAAGAATGTATTTACATGATTGTAGATGCATAGAATGACATCAAAAGTATCACTTTAGAAAGGTCTAAAAAAAAATTAAAGGAATTTCAAATCATAAACAAGACATGGAAAAAGGATTTCCAAATGATGGTGAAATTCTGAAAATTGTTTTTTAAAGATTTCAAGTTATTCAGAGTTTGGAGAAGAGAAGTTAATAGTGGCTTTCCTATGATCATGATGATCCTGAATATCAATATCAAGTGAATTTTATATAGTAGTTTGAAAATTCAAACTACTATATAAAATTTAAATATATTAAAATTTTATATATTATATATTTAAATATATTAAAAATTTAAATATATAAAATAATTCCAAGTCTTATCTATTGAAAAAGTCTTATTGTCAGAAATAGGCCAATGTAATTACAATAAAAATTATCGTATAAAAATATTTATATTATAGTATGTTATATTTATCAGGTCAGTCCATAAGTTCCTGCGTATTTTATGATCTTGAGAAAAATCTTGTTTTGCTGTTAAAAATGCCAGTCTAATGTGATACTTTTTACACTGAAGTGTTAAATTGGATCTCATTCATATAATACTGTTCAGAATTGGGAACATTTCAGTTGTTTATTTTCGTTAAAATGGAAGTAACAGATGAATATAAGAGACATGTTTTATACTTTTTATTTTTAAGTGATGAGAATGCTACAAATGCAGCCAAAAAATTAAATACTGTTCATAATCAAACTGTAATTAG